AAGACGAATTCATAGAGACCAAACATGGTATATGTAAGGTTACATGAATGAGTGGTTCTATCATAAGCATGCATAAAACAGTATAGAATACAAAAGACAATATACAAGAACAGCAATAATATACACAATGACCTGAAGGATATGTGTGTTCATTCAAAGAAAGGATTTCCTATGAACTAATTAGAGAAGAGTCAATTTTTATGGGCATTGTGTGTCTGTTTTAGAGAGACTTGAGTAAGAGCTGCTTTGCCCGCATTCCTTGGAGCAATAAAACTAGTGTTATCAGATGGTTTGTCTTTGGTTGCCATGGAACCAGAGGCCTGTTCTGCCCTTTTGAGGTGTTAGTTGCATTTCGGGGGAAGGGTCCATAGACCCTCATAGTTGGGCCTTTGGTTAGGTGAAGGGGCGTTAGATATTATTTGTTAAATATAACAAATATTTGATTGATTGAATTCTGATTAGGCCAAATGCTACAATGATGTGAATTAATCGCAAATTAATCGCACATCAAATTTGGATGAGAAATTACGCCCAAAAGATAATGTAAAGTCATTGTTGTGTAAAGCATCAAACAGACATTACAAAAAGTAGCTTCAGCAAGAAATATTTAGTTTGATCAAATTTATTAGATATACTCTTTTGGACCATGAGGGTGAGTAAATGATGACACAATTGTCATTTTTGGGTGGGTGAACTACACCTTTAATAATTTAATTGATTAATTTTATTATTATTACTATGGAAATATTAAATTATTTATTTAATGAAATTATACTCTAATGGCGCTTTTCCACTGCATGGTACGGCACGGTACGGCTCCGGGCGGGTTACTTTTTGACGTGAATAATCCCGCCCACTCTAAAGCGGTACTGAACTGCAGTGGAAACGCAAACCGTGCCGTACTGAGCCGTGCAGAGCCGAGTCGTACCATGCAGTGGAAAAGCACCATAAGTAGTAAACTAAACCTGCCAGTAGGTGGTGGCACTGGCAGAGCCAATCCTCCCTATATGCAAAATACGCAAGCTGCGTAGGGCCCCCGAAACACCAGGGGGCCCCCTTGCTCTCAAAGATGATTGAATTTTAGTTTCGTTTTTGAATTTGGACAGCGGTTATGAAAACATGAATGATAATTTCTTTTAATGCGGTGCGCAGTCGCCCTTTCTACGTAAAAATCAGTCAAATCATGTAATGTGAATGTTGTACAGTCTTGCTCAAGACTAAAAAAAACGAGTTGAAAACGTACCGAGAAGAGACACTGTTTCTCAAGCGACTCCTTATGCTTTTGAATCGCTCTCGCGGTACTTTGATGTCGTACACTATATTAAATTCTTACTTACTGAACTGTTGTATTTGGGCGGCGCTAGGGAGGGGCTAGCAAGTGCTTCAGCACCCCCCCATAGCACCCCCAAAAATGAAATAAAATAAAAGCATTTGACTCATAAATCATGCAACGTGACGTGATTTGCAGTCGTAGCCTACTTTTCGTAATGTCATAGCATTTTATTTTAAAAATGAATCGGTTCCTTGTGCCTAGTAGGTCTGCCCCCGACTAAAGATTGTTCTAGTCAACTAGTCGCACGTTTATATTAAATTGATTAATATAATAACCTTCTAAACCATCCTTTAGGCATATAGCCTATTCCGTGCTCAAGCGTGCACATAAAGATTGCCACAAAGCACCGGCAAAAAATAATTATATGTTTATATACAGTGCAAAACATAAATGAGTACACCCCCTCTAAAACTTAACAAATTCAGCAATTACTCTTTACTTATAAGACATGTTAAGGTTCTTTGGAGATGTAATGTTCCAACAAGCCTGCTTGATCAATTACCAAAGAAGAATGCAAAAATTATTCAGGAAAATAAGATTTTCTTATCAAAGTGATACAATTTTGTGTTGTAAAATTATTGTTTTAAGTGTGAAAATATAGCAGAAGTAGCACCAACATTCAAAAACAATGGACTTGTGATAAGGCTCCTGAAATAATCAGGTCTTCACTTTAAGTTTTAATTTAGTGATGAGTGAATTTTTGCTAGAAAAAGAGCCGGAGAAATAACATGCAAGTGTCTCAGAGCCAGCAAAAACTAAGAAAAGAGTGACACTTTATCTCACAGAGTATGACACGTAGCCTGCAGAAGTGACATGCATGGTTGTTGTCACCACTAGAATTACCTACTGTAGCCAAAGCAAAATAAACTAATTTAACCTCTTCCAGGGCCCATATTTACAAAATAGAGACTTCTGGGAATCCATACTCTGGTCTCAAGAGACCAAGTCAATCATTTCGGATCCAAAAGCATCCAAAATGTTCTGGTGTTGCTAGAGGAGGAGTACAGACAGAAGTGCTTGGTACCCACAGTGACGTGCAGTGGTAGTAAAGCTTTTATATAGGGATGTCAGAGGGGGTGTACTCATTTATGCTGTGCACTGTAATGTGCCCGGGGAAAAGAAGACATTTTAATTATTTATTAATAAACTAGTGCTTTCTCAGTCAGTGTCGACTGCAAAGATGAAGTTACCGAATGCCGACACTGACTCGCCCATCTCCACGTGGACGTGCCTTTAATAGCTTAGAGAGAAATGCTCCTTTTACTACGGACTACATAGTTAGAGAATATATATATATATATATATATATATATATTATTATTTTTTTTTTTTTTTTTTTTCTTTTTTTTTT